TAAGACAAATGAAGAAGACAAAAGAAGAAGGCAAAAGAAGAAGACGAAAGAAGAAGACACAAAAGATAACAAGAGAAAGGCGATATAAAACTACTAAAAAACACCAAAAACAACAAAGGAACAGAATAAACGCATAAAAAACGGAAAATAACTCCAAACAAGAAGATGAAAAGAGGCAAAGAAAACACGACAAAAAATTCTATAAAACAATTGAATAAAAGAGGGAGAAAAGCATCAAGAAGCGTAAAAAAACACGTAGTAAAAGAAGAATACAAAAAGGAGTCGACAAAAAAAAGCAATGAAAACATTAAAAAAAACACAAAAAAAGACAAATAAGGCGGCAAAAATTATCAAAAAACTACAAAAAATGGCAAAACAATGGGAGAACCAAAAGGTTACAAAAACAGACAAAAAAGCGATCAAAAAGTAGACCAAAATGGCGAAAAAAGGCACCAAGAAACCAAAACAAAACTCCAAAAGCGCCAAAAAAGAGGGACAACAAAAATACAGAAAAGGCGGCAAAAAGCGGACGAAAGACACTAAATAAGGAGATCAAAAAAAGGAGCAAAACAACGTATCAAAAAAAAAAGAGAATGCATTAAAAAATGGCAACAGGAAAGCACAGAAAAAAGACATCCTATAAAAACGCGATGAAAAAAATTACAAAAATACGACGACAATGTAAAAACGATAAGAACGGCAACAAAAAAGCAACAAAAAAAGGCGACAAAAACTACGATTTGCCACAAAAAAGAAATTAGACAAAAAGAAAGACGCCAAAAAAGCTAACAAAAAAGATTTAAAAAAATTACAAAAAAAAGACAAAAAAAAAACAAGAAAAATGCGATAACAAAAACAACTGAAAAGCACTGAAAGAGCGACAAAAAGGCGATGAAAAATGACAACAAGATGAAAAAAGATGCCAAGAAAACACGCCAATAAAAGACAAAAAAATAGATAAAAAGAGGGCAAAAAAGGTTTCGAAGTTTCTAGAGTTCGAGATTTCTCAAAATTTTTCTATATTTTTCAAAATGTCTCAAAATTTCTCAAGATTTATCAAGACTTCAAGATTACTCATGGTTTCTCAAGATTTCCCCGAAATTTCTCGACGTTTTTCGACCCTTCTCAAGATTTTTTAAGGTTTATCATGATTTGTCATCATTTCTCAACAATTCTCAGGATTTCTCCAGATTTTTTAAAGTTTCACAGGGTTTCTCAAAATTTTTCAAGGTTTCGAAGTTTCTAGAGTTCGAGATTTCTCAAAATTTTTCTAGATTTTTCAATATGTCTCAAAATTTCTCAACATTTGTCAAGACTTCAAGATTACTCAAGGTTTCTCAAGATTTCCCAGAAATTTCTCGACGTTTTTCGACCCTTCTCAAGATTTTTTAAGATTTATCATGATTTGTCATCATTTCTCAACAATTCTCAGGATTTCTCCAGATTTTTTAAAGTTTCACAGGGTTTCTCAAAATTTTTCAAGGTTTCGAAGTTTCTAGAGTTCGAGATTTCTCAAAATTTTTCTAGATTTTTCAATATGTCTCAAAATTTCTCAACATTTGTCAAGACTTCAAGATTACTCAAGGTTTCTCAAGATTTCCCAGAAATTTCTCGACGTTTTTCGACCCTTCTCAAGATTTTTTAAGATTTATCATGATTTGTCATCATTTCTCAACAATTCTCAGGATTTCTCAAGATTTCTCAAAATTTAGTGAAAATAATGAAGGAAGGCTCGCTAAGGGAATAAAGGGTGGGCGGGGCTAGTATGTGTTGAGATAAGACTGATTTTGGTAAATAACATACCTTCTAACAGCCTTTTTTTAACAGCCTATGTTCTATTAGCTCCCATGTCTACTCTACAAAAGAACATATATTTGCCCCGCCCACCCACCCCGCCTCCATTTCGGTGATTGATATTAACTAGTGTTGATTTTGAAAGATGGATCTTATATTCAGTAGAAATAAAATCGTTTGAATGAGAATAGCACGAATGGGCGGGTCTAGTACCTGCTTAAGTAAGACTGATTTTGGTAGTTGACATATTCACTAAGAAAATAACGAGTGGGTGGGCGGGGCTAGTACTTGATAAGATAAGACTAATTTTGGTAATTGACATATTCTCCAAGAAAATAACGGGTGGGTGGGAGGGGCCACTACTTGATAAGATACTACTAATTGTGGCGAATGACATGCTTTCTAGTAAAATAGAAGACGCGAGGGCGGAGCTAGAATGTGTTGAGATAAAACTGATTTTGATAAATAACATATCTTCTAAATAAATAAAGTGTGGATGGGCGGGACTAGTACTTTTAATATAAAATATTGGAAAAGAGAATCCAAAGACAGAAGTGAAAATAATGAAGGAAAGCAGTTATTAGAAGTAGTCGAAGAGAGCAGATGGGAAATCTTGAGTGAAAAATAAAACTTTTTTTAACAGCCTATGTTCTATTAGCTCCCATGTCTACTCTACAGAAGAACATATACTTGCCCCTCCCACCCACCCCCCCTCCATTTCGGTGATTGATATTAACTAGTGTTGATTTTGAAAGGTGGATCTTGTATTCAGTAGAAATAAAATCGTTTGAATGAGAATAGCACGAGTGGGCGGGTCTAGTACCTGCTTAAGTAAGACTGATTTTGGTAGTTGACATATTCACTAAGAAAATAAGGGGTGGGTGGGCGGGGCTACTATTTGATAAGATACTGCTAATTGTGGCGAATGACATGCTTTCTAGGAAAATAGAGGGCGGAGCTAGAATGTGTTGAGATAAGACTAATTTCGGTAAATAACATACCTTCTAAATAAATAAAGTGCGGATGGGCGGGGCTAGTACTTTCTAAGATAAGCTAATGGAGAAAGTTGATCCAAAAACAAAAGTGAAAATAATGAAGGAAACCAATTGTTGGAATTAGTTGAAGAGAGAAGATGGGAGATCTTGGGCGGAAGTAAAACTTTTTTTAACAGCCTACGCTCTACTAGTTCCCACTCTACCGAAGAACGTACATTTAACCCCGCCCACCCACCCCGCCTTCATTTCAGTGATTGATTTTTCTTATTGAAAAGTGGATCTTACATCCAACAAAAATAAAATCGTTACATACATTGGTGAAAATTTCATTTTTTAAAATTCTCAAAAAATTCATTGTTATAGCTTTTGACGTGCTAATTCCAAAAATATCTCGTGTTTTCGGTAATAGAGCAATATTTTCGAAACATTCGTTGTGAAATTCGATTTTTCATAAAAATAATCTATAAGTGTCACTATTCTCTTTCTTAAAGGATATCAGAGTCTCCACGTCCCTTAGTGTCCCTTTTCTAAAGAGTACGAAAAAAATCTCGGAGGATTGTGTCAGTTTTTAAATAATGTAGAATAATCTTGGGTGTCCTTTTTTATACACTGTGAGAGAACTTTGGGGACTTCTAGTGTTTTTTTTTTAACGAATATAGAAAGAATGTCAGGGACCCCTAATTTTTTGAAAAAATTTTAAAAAATCTTGAAAGACCCTAACATTTTTTTATAATAGTTATTTATGTATTAAGGGCATAATCAGGGAGATTGTGGCACAAGGGAATGTTTAAAGCCCGACGAAGGAGGGCTTTTAATTTCCCGAGTGCCACAATCGACAATTATGCACGTGGTACATACAACGTTTTATTCTATTTTAGTTTCTAAACTATTTTTAACGAAATATTGAGTATTTTCGGCAAGACTGTGTGAATTGTGCCGATGCGAATTTTAATACATAGCTGGCTATTATTTTGATGTTGTTATGGATACCACGTTGATTATTTGATAATTCGTTTTTCAAAATGTAAATTAAAGAAGCGGAAAATCTTTATTCAAACGGAAGTTTAGAAGAATTTGAAGTCGGTCAGGTAATGATTTGATAAAATATTATTTTTCCAACTTAAGAAAAACGTTGAATATCGAAGCGTGTTTGAATAATTAATTGATTAGTGTAAATGAACAATCAATTGTTGCTTAGCAATTTTTGACAGATTTGTGCTAAAAAGGCCAATTTAAGCCCGCATTTGGGTGCTTATAAATAAGATTATGGTTCTAAAATAGAATAAAAAATATAATAGCATCTCTGGGGTGGGTTTCTCTTAATTTTTGAAGGGCTATTAAAAGATTATTTAAAAGATTTCAAAGTGTCAACGTCCATTACTGTCTCTTTTTTTAAAGAATATGAAAGAATTTCAGAGGATTCTAGTGGCTTTTGAAAAATGTAAAATAACCTCTGGGCTCCCTCGCGTCTTTTATTTTAAGTAAACGAAAGAATCTCGCAGGCTCCTAGCGTCTTTTTTTAAAGAATATGAAAAAATCTCGATCAAACCTAGAACTTTTTCTTTGATGCGAAAAAATCGTGAATTCTTGTAGTCGTTTTTAAAGATTGCTTGGTATTTTATTTTTGCACAAATTTAAAATAAAATCTGTAGACGTTTTCTTTTAATCTGAATATGAAAAAATCTCGGGGGCCCCTAGTGTCCTGTTTAAAAAATGTGAAAAAAATTTGGGGCTTTCTAGTGTTTTTTTTTAAGAAAATGTGCTGACCTGACTTGACCTTAAACTCAATTTTAAATTAACAAATAGGAGTTGTCATAACAGCATATAAATTGGCAGAATCAAATTTTGTAGTACATTTAGGAAACCGAATTTCTTTTATTGCCTGTGTCGCAGGGGCGAATAAACTTCACCCTAAGTAATTTTAGCCCAAATTTTCCAAAAAATGAAACCCCCTTTTCAGAAAATCGCTTCCTTTAAAATCTGCCAACTCCACCCAACCGCCCGCGGTCTCTTCTAGTGCGTGCAAACAACCCCCACAACTCGTCTAAAATTACATTTTCAATATTCCCACAAAACACCGTCCCAGTTAAGCCCCACAAAGCCCCCAATACATTTCGACGTCCGTGATATCTGATACGCTCAAAGTAAACAGCTCTGAATCTCCCCCTAAACTAGCCTACGTGGGTGTAATTCACGACATCATCTCCTTACCAGCGTGAGAATAACAAGGGTATTTCCTACGACCGCCAACATGAAGATAACGGCATACAATGGTATTGTGATCCTGCCCGTCTCGTACCATTGCGGTATGCTTCCGGTCTTCGGCGGCGTTTCCGGCGTCGTTCCTTCGTTCGATAACGTGGAGACGTTCCACGTCGAGTTGACTTCGGCCCACTCCATCGTCACATCGCGCCCTGAAACAGCTGTTGTGGAAAAATAAGCAATTTGCCGGCACTACGGGTGAATTATGTCAAGAATGTGTACACGGTAGGCATTCAGTGCTGATTAATATCCCGAGGCAAATATTTTCACAGTCGTTCGGAATTAGTACGTGAAAAACGCGTCTCGGAAAATTTCCGTTCGATTTTCGGGGGGACCCCTCCCCTCGCAGGAGAAAATTAATAGTTGTTTTTAGATTGAAAAAAATAAATTTCGCGGAACTGAGGAACATCAAGACGGGACAAAAATCTAAATGTTCGTGGTTATTACGTTTTCCGGCATTAAAAATTCCGCCGTACAATCTCTTTAGAGTTGCTTGAATATTTATGATTTTTTTCAGTTGCTTCCGGTGGTTCGAATGTGCGCACAGCCCCTCGTTCGTAACCTTAAATAAGCCCCTTCGTTCTCCTTTTTTGTGTCTACATCATGCTTACACCGAACAATAATAATCCTCAAGATTTCAGATAATGAAAATAAGCATCTCGCGCCTGATTCCCAACGACCCTCATTGATTTAAAGCTACACTTGAAACTCCTTCATCTTAACAACCCCGTCGCGCCCTGGGCATTAAACTTAATTAAATCCTTTCTCTCTCGAAATGAAACTCAACAATAACACGCGCTCAAAAAATCGGCACGGGGCCAATTTGGCCAGCCGTGGGCACAGAATTAATTGCTCCCCGTCTCAGAAAAACGAAATTCATTATGGCTCTAATTCACAATTAGAAGCCAATTAATTTTACTAAATTGTTAACGAAGTGGAAGAGGCGGCGTGAAGAATGGACAGCGTGGGGCGGAGGCGGGCGCCCGGAAACGCGGTCGTGGGTCGGGGGCGGCCGGACAAAGCGCTATTGAAAGAAGTCGGAGAGACAATCATATCTAGGAAAGTTAATTTGGCGGACACGACGCCGGAGGACGAGGGATGAATGGGGTTGCGTGAGCTGATCGACTGTCGCGACTGCTTGAAAAATCTAGGAAGCCGGGGGCGGCCGCCGCTCCCGACGGTGTTTGCAGGAGAATTTGTCGGCGAAATAGAGTGGAGGCAGCGAACAAGGTGGCAGGTGGAGGCGGATCAATCTTTCGTAAAACTATTTACGAACAATTTATTTCGAATTATGCGAAGTTGTATGAAAAAAAGCGGAACCGCCGACATTTTTCGGGGGTTAAATTTATTGCGGGAAATTTGTTAGCGGTTATTTTTGATGCGAAGTGAGGGATTTTAATGGACTACGTCGGCTAGAAGTTTCTTGTTTTAAATTGCGATATATATTTTTAAACCAGTAATAATTCCACAATTTTTCGGCCAAACATTTAAAATTAATCACATTAGTTGTAGAAGGCAATTTTCTAATTGGAAGTTTTCTCGGGATTGCGAATCTGTATTTATTTTAGCTTTATTTCTTCTGAAAGCGAAAGAAAATATGTTTTTAGGAAAAATAATACAATTGGTCAAGTCGATCTAAAAATGGGTCATTTATTTTGTTTCAATATCCCGAGATAAATAAAGGAATGCGCAATTTCTTCCAAAATATCTAATATCCTTGAAAGGTTCCTTAAATCTCTAAATATTTTTTTATTATTATCCCGGCGCCTTCACCACCAGAAAAAATATATAACTCGATTTTCTCTCAGGATTATGAATCTGTGCTTATTTTTGCTCTATCTCTCCTAAAAGCGGAAGGAATAAGTTTTAGGAAAAATAATATAATTGGGCAAATCGATCCAAAAGTCCGCCATTTATCTTGGTTTAAATTAATGCTGGTTTTGGTATTTTGTTTAAATATTCCGAGACCATAAAGAAATGTGCAGTTTCTTCCAAAATATCTAATGTCCCTTAAAGATTTCTTAAATCTTTTTAAAAGAAACGTTTTTTATTATTATCCCGGCGCCTCCACCATTTCGGCAAAATTTAAAATTAATCACAAATTGCAGAAAAACATTTCACAGTTCGAAATTTTCTCAGGATTACGAATTGGTGGATATTTTTGTTGGGAAAAGAAGACTTCGTATATTAAGAAAAAACGAACAAAATATAAGCCCCACCCACCCACCCCTTCTCAATTGTGATGAAAGTTTTATTCTTCATGAACTGAAGGGCGGAGTTTAGTTTGCAAAATCCTCACTTGTCCACAAGAATTTACTAGTTGAAATATGTTTTTAAAAGGGTAGAAGTTTTGGGAGAAATATTGACGTAAAAACATATTTCATATGATAATTTCGTGTAAAAAAAATGAGGATTTTGCAGTTAAATTCCGCCCTTCGGTCTGATTAGGTATGAAAAATTCATCACAATTGAGACCGGGCGGGTGGGTGGGGCTTAAGTTTTTTTTTTGTTAATAAATAGAGTTATTTTTCATTAACAGAACAGTTAAACATGTTGGCAGTTTCTTGTTGGGAAAAGAAGACTTAATATCTTGAAAAAAAACGGACAAAGTATAAACCCCGCCCACCCACCCCTTCTCAATTGTGATGAATGTTTTATTCATCATTTCCTGAAGGGCGGAGTTTAGTTTGCAAAATCCTCACTTGTCTACAAGAATTTACTACTTGAAAAATGTTTTTAAAAGGGTAGAATTTTTGGAGAAATATTGACGTAAAAACATGTTTCATATGATAATTTCTTGTAGAAAAATGAGGATTTTGCAGTTAAATTCCGCCCTTCGGTCTGATTAGGAATGAAAAATTCATCACAACTGAGATCCGGGCGGGTGGGTGGGGCTTAAGTTTTTTTTTTGTTAATAAATAGAGTTATTTTTCATTAACAGGACAGTTAAACATGTTGGCAGTTTCTTGTTGGGAAAAGAAGACTTAATATCTTAAAAAAAACGGACAAAATATAGGCCCCGCCCACCCACCCCTTCTCAATTGTGATGAATGTTTTATTCATCATGACCTAAAGGGCGGAGTTTATTTTGCAAAATCCTCATTTCTCTACAAGAGATTGACATATAAAATATGTTTTTAAAAGGGTAGAATTTTTTAGAGAAATATTGATTTAAAAACATATTTCATATGATAATGTCTTGTGAGAGAAATGAGGATTTTGCAGTTAAACTCCGCCTTTCAATCTGATTAGGAATGAAAAACTCATTACAATTGAGATTGGGGTGGGTGGGTGGGGCTTAATTTTTTTTCATTTTTAAATATATAGAGTTTTGTTTCAATGACCGGATAGTCAAACATGTGTTCAGTTTCTTGTTGGAAAAAGATGACTTCATATCTTAAGAAAAAACGGACAAAATATAAGACCCGCCCACCCACCCCCTCTCAATTGTGATTAATGTTTTATTTGCTCTCTTTCCTAAAAGCGGAAGGAATATGTTTTAGGAAAAATAATTTGATTGGTCAAATCGATCTAAAAATCGGTCATTTATCTTGGTTTAAATTGATGCTTGATTTGTTATTTTGTTTAAATATTCCGATAGTAAATATAGATAAATGCGCAGAAAGAAATTTTCGAATTCGACATTTTCTCAGGATTACGAATCGGTGCTTATTTTCATTCTAATTCTTTTAAAAACAGAGGAAAATTTGTTTTTAGGAAAAAATATAATTGGTCAAATCGATCCAAAAATCGGTCATTTATCCTTGTTTAAACTGATGCTTGATGTATTATTTTGTTTGAATATACCGGGATATACAAAGGAATGTCCAGTTTCTTCCAAAATATGTAATATCCTTTCAAGGTTCCTTAAATCTCTATAAAATAATTTTAATTGTTATCCCGGCGCCTCCACCATTTTGAACAAAACATAAGATTAATCAACAAGTTTCAGAAGAAAATTTTCCAGTTCGACATTTTCTCAGGATTACGAATCGGTGCTTATTTTCATCCTAATTTTTTTAAAAACAGAGACAAATCTGCTTTTAGGAAAAAAATATAATTGGTCAAATCGATCCAAAAATCGGTCATTTATCCTGGTTTAAACTGATGCTTGATGTATTATTTTGTTTGAATATCCCGAGATATATAAAGGAATGTCCAGTTTCTTCCTAAATGTGTAATACTCTTTAACGGTTCCTTGAATCTCTATAAAAAAAATTTAATTGTTATCCCGGCGCCTCCACCGTTTTGAGCAAAATTTAAATTAATCAACAAGTTTCAGAAGAAAATTTTCCAGTTCGACATTTTCTCAGGATTACGAATCGGTGTTTATTTTCATTCTAATTCGTTTAAAAACAGAGGAAACAGTGTTTTTAGGAAAAAAATATAATTGGTGAAATCGATCCAAAAATCGGTTATTTATCCTGGTTAAACTGATGCTTGATGTATTATTTAGTTTGAATATCCCGAAATATATAAAGGAATGTCCATTTTCTTCTAAAATGTATAATATCCATTAAAGGTTCCTTAAATCTCGATTAAAAAATATTCAATTATTATCCCGGCGCATCCACCATTTTGAGCAAAATTTAAAATTAATCAACAAGTTTCAGAAGAAAATTTTCCAGTTCGACATTTTCTCAGAATTATGATTCGGTGCTTATTTTCATTCTAATTCTTTTAAAAACAGAGGAAAATGTGTTTTTAGGAAACAAATATAATTGGTCAAATCGATCCAAAAATCGGTCATTTATCCTGGTTTAAATTGACGCTTCATGTATTATTTTGTTTAAATATTCCGAGATATATAAAGGAATGTTCAGTTTCATCCAAAATGTGTAATATCCTACAAAGGTTACTTGAATCTCTAAAGAAAAATTTTTAATTGTTATCCCGGCGCCTCCACCGTTTTGAGCAAAATTTAAAATTAATCAACAAATTTCAGAAGAAAATTTTCCAGTTCGACATTTTCTCAGGATTACGAATCGGTGCTTATTTTCATTCTAATTCTTTTCAAAACAGAGGAAAATGTGTTTTTAGGAAAAAAATATAATCGGTCAAATCGATCCAAAAATCGGTCATTTATCCTGGTTTAAATTGATGCTTGATGTATTATTTTGTTTGAATATCCCGAGATATATAAAGGAATGTCCAGTTTCTTCTAAAATGTGTAATATCTTTAAAGGTTCTTTAAATCTCCATAAAAAATTTTTAATTGTTATCCCGGCGCCTCCACCGTTTTGAGCAAAATTTAAAATTAATCAACAAGTTTCAGAAGAAAATTTTCCAGTTTGACATTTTCTCAGGATTACGAATCGGCGCTTATTTTCATTCTAATTCTTTTAAAAACAGAGGAAAAAGTGTTTTTAGGAAAAAAATATAATCGGTCAAATCGATCCAAAAATCGGTCATTTATCCTGGTTTAAACTGAAGCTTGATGTATTATGTTGTTTGAATATCCCGAGATATACAGAGGAATGTTCAGTTTCTTCTAAAATGTGTATTATCCTTTAAAGGTTCCTTAAATCTCTATAAAAAATTTTTAATTGTTATGCCGGCGCCTCAACCATTTTGAGCAAAATTTAAAATTAATCAACAAGTTTCGGAAGAAAATTTTCCAGTTCGACATTTTCTCAGGATTCAGAATCGGTGCTTATTTTCATTCTAATTCTTTTAAAAACAGAGGAAAAAGTGTTTTTATGAAAAAAATATAACTGGTCAAATCGATCCAAAAATCGGTCATTTATCCTGGTTTAAACTGAAGCTTGATATATTATTTTATTTGAATATCCCGAGATATACAAATGAATGTCCAGTTTCTTCTAAAATGTGTATTATCCTTTAAAGGTTCCTTAAATCTCTATAAAAAATTTTTAATTGTTATCCCGGCGCCTCCACCATTTTGAGCAAAATTTAAAATTAATCAACAAGTTTCGGAAGAAAATTTTCCAGTTCGACATTTTCTCAGGATTACGAATCGGTGCTTATTTTTATTCTAATTCTTTTAAAAACAGAGGAAAAAGTGTTTTTAGGAAAAAAATCTAATTCCTCAAATCGATCCAAAAATCGGTCATTTATCCTGGTTTATACTGATGCTTGACGTATTATTTTGTTTGAATATCCCGAGATATATAAAGGAATGTTCAGTTTCTTCCAAAATGTGTAATATCCTTTAAAGGTACCTTAAATCTCTATAAAAAATTTTAAATGTTATCCCGGCGCCTCCACCATTTTGAGCAAAACATAAGATTAATCAACAAGTTTCAGAAGAGAATTTTTCAGTTCGACATTTTCTCAGGATTACGAATCGGTGCTTTTTTTCATTCTAATTCTTTTAAAAACAGAGGAAAAAGTGTTTTTATGAAAAAAATTTAATTGGTGAAATCGATCCAGAAATCGGTCATTTATCCTGGGTTAAATTGATGCTTGATGTATTATTTTGTTTAAACATTCCGAGATATATAAAGAAATGTTCAGTTTCTTCCAAAATGTGTAATATCCTTTAAAGGTTCCTTGAATCTCTATAAAAAAATTTTAATTGGTATCCCAGCGCCTCCACCATTTTGAGCAAAATTCAAAATTAATCAACAAGTTTCAGAAGAAAATTTTCCAGTTCGACATTTTCTCGGGATTACGAATCGGTGCCTATTTTCATTCTAATTCTTTTAAAAACAGGGGAAAAAGTGTTTTTAGGAAAAAAAAATAAATGGTCAAATCGATCCAAAAATCGGTCATTTATCCTGGTTTAAACTGATGCTTGATGTATTATTTTGTTTGAATATTCCGAGATATATAAAGGAATGTGCAGTTTTTTCCCAAATATCTAACATCCTTTAGAGATTTTTTAAATTTATAAAAAAAATTTTAATTGCTATCTCGGCACCTCCACCATTTTGGACAAGATTTAAAATTAATCAAGAAGTTTCAGAAGAACATTTTCCCATTCGAAATTTTCTCCGGATTACGAATCGATGCTTATTTTTACCCTAATTCTCCTAAAAATATAGGAAATTGTGTTTAAGGAAAAACTGTCACTTATTTTGGTTGAAATTGATCATTGTTTTGTAATTTTGTTTGAATATCCCGAGATTTTTCAAGGAATGTGCAATTTCTTACAAAATATCGAATATCCTTTCAAGGTTTCTTAAATATTTTTAAAAGAAATATTTTTATAATAATCCCGGCGCCTCCACCATTTTCGGCAAAATTTAAAATTAATCACACAAATTCCAGAAGGAAAATTTCTAATTCGAAATTTTCTCAGGACTGCAAATGGGTGCTTGTTTTTAATCTATCTTTTCTAAAAACGAAAGAAAATATACGTTTTTAGGAAAAAAATATAGTTGGTCAAAAAAAAAGTCGGTCATTTATGTTGGTTTAAATTAATACTTGATATACTATGTTCTTCAAATATTCCGAGATATATAAAAGATTGTGCAGCCTCTTCAAAATATCTAATATCCCTGAAAGGTTTCTTAAGTCTTTTTAAAAGAAAAAATGTTTTTAATTATTATCCCGGCGCATCCACCATTTTTCGGCAAAATTTAAAATTAATTACATAATCCCCAAGAAAACTCTCCAATCCGAAATTTCTCTGGATTATGAACCTGTGCTTATTTTTACCTCATCTGCCCCAACTCCGAAGGAAAATATATTAAAAAAAAAACATGATCGAACAATTAGTCATTCAACAAAAATTTGTCACTTTTCGACATTTTAACTTAAATTCTCGCCTCCAAAATAAACCCTCATTTTTTCTTTCCCCATCATATTCACATTAATTCCCGCTTAATATCCCCAAAACCCCCTTTTAATTACCGTTAAACCCTCCACCATCCGCCGCCAGCCTTTCCAGCCACATTTCGCCGCCTCTCCTCAAAGAATTAAATCACTCTCGAAGCTTTCAGGCGTCACATGCAAATTCGTGTCGTTGTTTGTGCAGCCACAAAGAAGCCCAACACAAATGCAAACGCATTATGCAGCCAACTCCTCGATGTGCACTTACTTTTAAACTCGAAAGCCGAAAAACCCAGAAGTGTGTTCGCCGCAATCCCGTTTATCGCGAAATTGAAAAGTAATACAAAAGCGAACCAGAGATGGAAAATTCTTCCGGAAATTAATTTTCGGAGTTCTAATTGGTTCGAAACTAAGCGGCACGATATTTTCGGGACATGCGGAGGTGAAAGAAAAGTGGAAGTTTCGGGGTATTTGAATGCGAAAGGCTGGATTAGCGTGTTTAGTTGGGATTAATAGGTGTTCTAACAGGATAATGCTAGTGCTCAACGAAAAATTAGATCTTAGTTTTTTTAAACGAAAATTCGAAAACCAATTTTACTCCGTAGTTTACGACAGAATTGTTTTTTATCGAGACGGTAATATTTTTATTAGCAATAAAAACGTTTATTGTTATTAAACACGTAGGAGTTGCTTTATGCGTTTTTTGATAAATACGAGTAGAAACCGTTTGTGTGTAAGTAATTCAAAAATTTTTGCCCCCTTTGTCGTCCCATTTAATTGCTCAATTTTCTAATTAATAGTCAGCCGACTTTTGTTAATTTTCGCACAATGAGTGTCTGCCGAACTTTCTCTTTTTGAACTTTAATGGAAGTTTCGCGAAACTTCAATGAAGCGTTCACTCGATAAGATCGTCCCCGACCTAGCCTAACACCGCCCAAAATGTTTCCTCCATTTTTTCCACATCTAACGTACCTTATCTCCCGTCTTCAGCCTCCTCGACTTCCCAACTCTCCCAACTCCTTCAACTTTCAAAAGCGCGCGCGGTCCTCCAGTTCCAAAGCAACAGTTCCGAGATAACCGCCCGAAACCGTATCGAGCACTGAAACGCTCCAGCTTTCGCCAGCAGACAGAGCGACGCCAGCGCTTCCATTCACAAGACTTATCCTGACCTAGGATGTACCATCTGCACCTCTTGCATCGATTATTGTCATAGGTTAAGGGTTGGCCTGTCTTAAGCAAACTAACTCCGATTGCTAATTAGCAAAGCCTCTCGACTGGAGGAATCCTCGGCGTCTTGGAATTCCAATTTCGGAGAGATAATTAAAGGGGTTTTTTCGCCAAAACGGGGGACACCTGTTGATGAGCGGGGAGTTTTATTTTGACGTAATAGGGTCGTTTTGAGGAATGCGAGTTTCCAGATAATAACGACAAAAATCTGCTTATTTTATAACTTTGGCTCCCCTCCACGACGGTGATGACGTCATCTGTCAAAATCGAGCCGTGTCCAAGTCACCGAACGACTAATACCGAAAAGTTGAAGAATGAATGTAAGAAGTTCATTAGCTTGGATTTATTTCCAACACTGTCAGCACGAATTCGCAAGTAACGATTTCATTTAAATTTTCCAACAACGAATTTGCAAACACGCCAATTTTCTAATTTTGTTTATTCTAGTGTCATGTGTTTAACCTTTCGTTAATAATACCTATATGAATTTTAATGGATTCCATTGTTTTCAATTTCTTTCATTGAGAGTCGCCACGGACACAAAAATAACGAAATTACCACACTCATTTCCGATTTACTTTGTTTAATATACACATTGTTGGTCGTGAATTGCGCTGCAAATTTACTCACTCGTAAACCTAGTCACGTATGCATAGATTTATGAAACTTTAAAACATAAACGCGAAAATTTACAGTTTACATTTTGCATCAGAACTGCCAATCTGTAACAGCTTGTTCAGCCCGCGAGCCCCCCTCTACCTGTGTTACCAATTATTCCTCGTTCCGATTCTCTAATTTATGGTATACCCCATCACATAACATTAAATATGGATATTCTGGCTTTCAGCATTAATTTACTGAGCTTTTATTCAAATACTCGTCTAAATATTGATGAGCGCGGATTTAAGAGACAAAACCCACCCCTTTCGCTTTTTAACACCAACCCGACATCAATCTTCAACAAGTCCAATTTTTTTAAAACAATTCCTCTGTTCCTAAAAGCCGCATTAGCACTTCTCCGGCTCTTCCTTCATCTCCAAAAATATGTAAAGTGATTTACACAAAACTCGTCTTATCTCTGAAGCTTAAATATAATATTATTTGGTCCCTAAATCTTCACTTTCAAAACCCGAAAAAAACAACAAGAATCTGAAGAAAACACAACCGAATGTCTATATTTTCCCGTGTGAACGCATCCCTTCACGCGCCAACCCCAACCCGCCTCTTTTGTCCGCAAATCCCGCCCCATCCCCATAAAAAATAATTTTATTTCCCGGATTTATATCCGAGCTTAACGAGCTTTCAAAATCGATTTACGGCCGAAACTGTCGGCGCTCCTTCGATATTTTCCCTCCTAATTAATTTACTTTAAACCGAAACACCCACAGGTATGGCAAATCAAGCCGGCCGAGCGATTCGGGGCTAAATGGGGGCACTTGCCCCCAAATAAATCACCGACGGCGGTGTCCTTCAAGATCCGGAATTGCTGTTTTCACGAGGGAAATTGATGGCGGCGGGGCGGCCGCACTCGATCTATCAAATTTTTCAAAATTTAATCATTCGAAAAAGTTACATAATTGATCATTCCGAGTCGGGCCAAGTTCAATTAATAAGTTTGAGGCGGTGTAAATTTAATAGAAAAGCAGGACGTGGGCGGCGAACGCAGCCGTAACAAGTTTTTGACAAATGGCAGAATTGTGCGGTTCGCAACTCGGGAAGTACGAAAATGCGGGTTTCCGTTTGTAATTATGGATATGGAGTTAAATGTAGTGCGAATTTGTATGTGCGTGCAAGATTTGAATCTCGGTTATGTTAATTCGTCGTTAGAATCTTTGCTGAGGACGTCCTTTTAATAATAATGAGGACGAGGATTTTGCGTCGGGTTGCAGGATTCATATTCCTTGGCGTCGTGTTGGCGAATATGAATTATTTAGGGCCGGTGCTTTAGGGGAGGATATAATTAAAAATTATCAGATTGTTAATGAGAAAACAAAGAAAAGCCGCTTTTGTTGTACGATGTTGGATTTCGAAAGGAATTTCGGCCATGAAAACGTTTTCGTGAGGGATAAAAACTAAATAATCTGAAAAAATTAATAACTTTGTCAAAGCTACAAAGGAAATATTGCGTAAAAATGATAGATTGATGAAAAAGACAAACAAAATTTCTCTCCCTTTCTCTCTTCCTCTTTCTACCTCTACCTGCGTTTATCCCTCTGTCTCTCCTTCTGTCTCCCTCTCTGTCTCTGCTTCTAGCTAACCGTCTGTTTTTCGTTTGTCGCTCTTTGTATATCTTCTTTTCCTTCACTTTATTCCTCCTCCTCTATCTATCCCTGTGCCTCTCATTCTGTCTTCCACTCACCCCACTTTTCTCCTTCTGTCTCCATTTCTCACTGTTTTTTTGTCTGCTTTCCTATCTGCCTGTGTTGTGTTTCTTCCTACGTCTTCCATTCTGTCTGTTCTCTCTTTATCTCTTCGTCTGTCTCCCTAGTTTCCCCCATTTCTCTTCCGTCTCTCCCGTATCTCATCCTCTATTTACCTCTTCATCTTCTTCTTTGTGAGACTTTCTTTCTATCTCTCCCTCTGTTCCTTTTTCTATTTCACCTTTTCTGCCTCTTTTACTATCGCCCCTTCTATCTCTCTTCGTTTCTGTTTCTTCTGCTTTTTACATTTCTTCAAGTTTTTCTTCAGATTTTTCCCGTCTTACTCTCTCTTCTTTCCATTCTTTCACATTTCTTTCTCTTAGTCTTGCGCTAGTTCTTAGTCTACCCCACTTTCTCCTCTTTCCAGTTCTGTATTTTTGGTTTCTTTCTCCTTCTTATGTTATCGCTCCTTTCCACATTCTTCTTCTTCACCATTTATCCATTCCGGTCCCCTTTAACTCTTATTTTAGTTCCTTAAATCTTTTTTCTTCTCTCTCGCTCCCTTTCTATGTCTGTTTTTGTTTTTTCTTCGCCTCTCTTTCTCTCTTTCCCTGCCTCTCTCTATACCTTTCCCTCTGTTTCTCCCTCCGTCTGCTCGTTTGTCTCTTCTCCTATCCCTTTTTCTACCTCTCCGTCTATATCTCTCTCGTTTCTCACCGCTGTCTTCTCTTCTACCTCTTCTGTATCTCTTCCTCTCGTTACCTCTTCATCTTCTTGTCTGTGTGTTTTCTGCCTCTTTTATTGTCAACTCTACCCGCTCTTCTTTATATCTATGCCTTTGTCCTTCTCTCTCTTGCACTAGTTCTTATTCTGCCACTATTCCTCCTCTTTGTCGTTCTAAATATTTTATTTCTTTCTCCTTCTTATATTTCCCGCTCCCTCTACTATTCTTCTTTTTTACCCTTTGCCCATTCCCGTTCTGATGAATTCTTGATTTCGTTCTCCCTTCTTTTTCCTCCCCGTCTGTGTCTGCAATGGTTTTCCCGTATATCCCCCTCCCTTTATCTCCTAATCATCTTCTCTCTATGTCCCTCTTTCTCTCTCTCCCATTGCGATTCTTCTGTTTCACCTTCTATCACTCTGTCTGCCCTTATATCTTTCTCTCCTCTTCTCCTCCCCCCTTTCCGCAACTCCCTCTACTTATTTCTCTGCTTGCCTCTTTCTCTCTCTGCCTTTTTCTCCCGTCTTTTACTTTTTCCTCTCTTTTTCTCTGTGAGTTTCTGTCCTACTCCTGCGCTCATCTTGTTTCTCTTCCATTCTGTTCTTCTTTCGCTTCACGCTTACACTCTTCTTTATTTTTTCTTTCCTGTAGCTGTTTCATTCACTTTTTTTTTTATCCGTTTCTTGCACATTTCTTTCTCTTACTCTTCCGCTGGTTCTTATTCTACCCCACATTCTCCTCCTTCTAGTTCTATATTTTTGATTTCTTTCTCATTCTCATGTTATCGCTTTTTCTCCCATTCTTCTTCTTCTTCTTCACCTTTTATCCATTACGGTCCCGTTTAACTCTTTTTTCGTTCTCTTAGCCTTTTTCTTTCTCTCTCTCTTTCTATCTGCCTCTGTTTTTGTTTTTTCTACGCCCCTCTTTCTCTCTTTCCCTGCCTCGCCCTCTAACCCCTCGTTTGTCTCTTCCCCTATCCCTTTCTCTACCTTTCCGTCTATATCTCCCTTGTTTCTCACCGCTATCTTCTTTTCTACCTCCCCTGCATCTCTTCCTCTCCTTACCTCTTCATCTTCCTGTCTGTGTGTTTCTATTTCAATCTCTCTCTCTGCCTCTTTTTCTGTTTCATTTTCTGTGTCTTTTATTGTCACCCCTGCACGCTCTTGCTTCTATCTTTGCCCTTGTCCTTCTCTCATTGTATGATTCGCTCTACCTTGCTCCTCGCTTTCCTCTTTCTTTCGCTACCTGACTTTATGCCTTTTTCGTCCCCTCTCTCTTTTGTCCTCTGCCTCTATGTGCCCCTCCTTCCCTTTTATCTTGTTTCTTTCCCATTCTTTCTCTTTTTCCTTTCACGCCTATTCTCTTCTTTCCTATCGCTCTCTTCCTCTGTCCTTTTCCTAGCATTCCTCTGTTTCTCTTTCTCAAGCCTTCTCTTCTAGATCTCCCTAGCTTTCATTCTTGTACACTTTTTTTCTCTTATTCTTGCACTAGTTCTTATTCTACCTCTATATCTCCTCTTTCTCGTACTAAATTTTTTATTTTTTCCTCCTTCCTATATTTCTCGCTCCTATTCTTCTTTTTCAACCTTTCCCATTCCCGTCCTGATTAATTCATGTTTTCGTTCTCCCTTCTTTTCCCCCAATGAATGAAAGAAGAAGAGTTTTCTTGTCTATTTCTCTCTCTCTTTTTCCTTGCGTTTTTCTATAATTTTCCCTCTATCTATCCGTCTATCTCTTCCCCTGTCCCTCTCTCCACCGTCTGTGTCTCTCACGTTTACCCTGTATCTCCCCCTCCTCTTATCTCTTAATCTTCCCCCCTGGGTGTCTTTCTATCTCTCCCTTTGTCTCTATTTCTGTTTCACCTTCTGTCTCATTTATTGTCGTCCCTTCTATCACTCTCTCTGCCTTTATATATTACTCTTCCCTTTTCCTCCCTTTTTTCCGTAACTCCCTCTACTTATCTCTCAGCTTTCTTCTTTCTTTCTCTGCCTCTTTTTCTTCTTTTTTTTCTGCGCTCATCTTGTTTCTCTCCCGTTCTGTTCTTCTTTCCCTTCACGCTTACACTCATCTTTCCTTTTTCGTTCCTGTAGCTATCCACTATTTATCCGTTTCTATTTCTTTAGCTTTGTACCGTCTTTCACGTTTTCCTTCAGATTTTTCCCGTCCTACTCTCCATGCTTTCCATTCTTGCACATTTACTCTTGCGCTGGTTCTTATTCTATCCATTTTCTCTTCTTCTACGTCTATATTTTTGATTTCTTTCTCCTTCTTTGTTATCACTGCCTACCCCATTTTTCTTCTTCACTTTTTATCCATTCTAGTCCCGTTTAACTCTTATTTTCGTCCTCCCTTCTTTCTCCTCTATCTTCTTTCTTCTCCCTCTCTTTATAATTTCCCTCTACCTCTTCCTCTGTCTCTCTTTCTGAATTCTACTCAGCCTATTTTTCCTCCCTTTCTATCTGTCTCTGTTTTTGTTACTCCCTACACCGCCCTTTCCTTCTTCCTTTCTCTGCCTTTCTTTATAGTTTCCTTTAGCCTTTCCCTCTATCTTCTCGTTTGTCTCTTCGCCTATCTCTATCTCTACCTCTTCGTCTATGTCTCCTTCGTCTCTCGCCGCTGTCCTTCTCTTCAACTTCTCTTCCTCTCCTTATCTCTTCATCTTCCTCCTGTGTGTTTCTATTTAAATCTTTCCCTCTGCCTCCTTTTTTGTTTCATTTTCTGCCTCTTTTACTGTTACCTCTCTTCTCTCTATCTTTGCCTTTCTTCTTCCCTCTTTCTGTATCTCCTCTCTGCCTTCCTCTTTCTTTCGCTTAGCTTTTTGTCTCTTTTCGTCTCTCCTTCTCTGTGTGTTATTGTCCCTCCTACCCTTTCATCTTTTTTCTCTCCCATTTTTCTGTTTTCTCCTTCACACTACACTCTTGTTTCTTTTTTTATTTCCTGTCGCTATCTCTTTCGATCTCCTCTTACTACCATCTCTCTATTTTCCTTTCTCTAACCTTCTACCTTTTCTTCACTTTCACTTTCAGCATTTTCGTGTCCTTCAACCCCTACCTACTTTTCATTCTTGCACACGTTTTTTCTCTTATTCTTTGATTTGACATTTTTGATTCCTTTCTCCTTCTTACGTTTTTGCTCCCTCTGCCATTCTTCCTCTTCTTCATACTGCCCATTCCCGTTCTGATTAATTTATGTTTTCGTTTTCCCTTCTTTTTCCTCTAACAAATTAAAAGATTTTTCTTCTTAAATTCTCACTTTTCCCATCCCTTAGGCTTCATCTCCGTCTTTTCCTTTTTAACTCAAGCGGCAATAAAGCCTTACATACGATTTTTCTCCCCAACCTCCCTATGTGTCTCCTTTTCCCTCTCTATCTGCCTCTGTTTCTGTTTCTCCCCACCCCTCTTCCTCTTTCTGCGTCTATTTCTCTCTCCCTCTTTCCCTGCGTCTCTCTCTCTAAAATTGTCCCTGTGTATTCCCGTCTATCTCTTCACCTATTCTTCTCTCGACCTTCCACGTTTCCCCCTCTATCTAGTCTTCTATCTCTCCCTTTGCCTCTTGTTCTGTTTCATCTTCTGCCGCTTTTAATGTCGATCTTTGTGTCTTCCTGTTCTCCTTTTTTCTCTGCCCTTTTCTTTTTCTTATCATTTTTTCTGTTGTTTTTGTCCCACTCCTACGCTTTCGTCTTGTTTTTTCCCATTCTTTTTCTTCTTCCTCTTCACACTTACACTCTTCTTTCTTTACTTCGTTCCTGTCGCTATGTATCTCGCTGTCCTTTTACCACCATCTTTCTGTTTCTTTTTCCTTCAGCTTTTTCCTGTCTTTGTAACTCTACCGTCTGTTCTTCCTCTTTTTGCCACTCCTCTTCTTTCTCTCATCATTTTTCATTCGTACACACTTTTTTCCCCTCACTCAGGCATTGGCTTTTATTCTGTCTGTTATTCTCCTCTTTCTCGTCCTATATTTTTAGTTTCTTTTCTCCTTCTTACTTTTCCCGCAATTCCGGGCCCGATCAACTCCTATTTTCCTCTCCGTTTTTTCTTTCCCTTTTTCACTCAAACGCAAATAAAGTCATGAAAGCAAGCGATAAAAAAGTTACAGACGGGTCCTGGAGTCGTCCCGCCCAACACTATCTCGTTCCTTATTCGCACCGTTCCCCGGACCAGTCCGGGACGGGCCGGAAATTCCGGGCACGTGTTTTGTTAAGTGCTCGCAAAAGTCGCACGGCCATAATCCGGGGTAATTTCAGATCGGTCCACAAACTTACTTTTCAATTTAAATTTTGCATGGTCTGCGCAATTTTTACATCGTACTTACATTGCAATAACTAGAAAATTCCTAGGGGCTCGAAAAAACCGAAGCCAATCTCGTTGTTAATAAAATTTCATGAATATAGGGGAAGAGGGCCCAAAGCGGGCACCATAAGGAAAAATATTAAAAAAAGTAGTTTATGGATAATCTAGATCCTTTAAATTTTTATATTATAATGCTTGATTTAACCCTTTTGAATGATGCATAACTAAAATTGAAGAAAGTTTATTAAAAAAAAAAGTTATAAGCAGTTAACTAAATCTTTACAACTGCCCGCTTTGCCCTACGGGGAGGCCTAAAGCGGGCATTCAGCTAGGGCAAACCAGGCAATGGTTAAGGTTGGCGTCTGGTTCGATTTCGCTCTATACTAAATACATTGAAAATATTGTCGGCGTTTCCGGAATTGCATTTTAGAAATACTGAAGTCTGCAACCAAACCAGAAGTTAAGTAAGCTCATTTTAATAGATTTTGACTTTTCGAGAGTTATTTACCTCAACCATGGATTTTTTTAGGATTATAAATGGTATCAAAAGAAAGCTGACACTTTTCCCCAGAGGACCTTCTATCTCAAAGTGCAAACCTCTTCAGCACTTCGTCAAAAAATGCATCAATGCGCCGATTAAAGTGTGATGTAAAAGTTGCTCAACTTTATAATTTTTTTTTTGTAAAAACTGTAGACTAGATATGAATATAAATATGAAGGTCCCCTGGACTGAAGTTTGGTAATTCGAAATATAATTTTTTTAAAGCGATATATCTCGTATTTTTCTTTTTGTTTCTTTCACTTCTTAGACTTCGTTTTATCTTCAGCAAGTTCTTCTTTTATAATTTGTTTCACAGACTCCACATTGCCTTTGTTCTTCTTTTCGAAACAACTATAGATATTTAGTAAATACACTAGAAGGACAAACCGGACAAGTGCCCGCTTTGCCCTGCCCGCTTTGCCCATTTCGACAATTAAAATTGCAAACAACATCTAAACTCAAAATGATGCGACAAGTAGCAGTTAACTGCTACCTTATGGTAGCCGAATAAACACAAATTGACTAACGAATTTCATTTTTAGCTTAAAAATCACAAACATAGAAAAAACAGATGTGACACACTTTGCAATATTTTTCAAAATCATGTGAAAATTATTTATTTATTACAGCACATAATTGGGTACTCGCAGGAGACCCGGGCGACTGATGTGAAGTATGCGGGGGGGGATGCACTATGTCCGCGCGGTTAGGGCGCACCATCTTTTGAAACGCCAAAACTAAAGAGAGTGCCCGCTTTAGGCTCTATGCCCGCTTTAGGCCCCCTTCCCCTACGCACTCCGGCGGGGTTTTAAAAGTTACAAATTATTTGTGGGCAAGAACACGAGTTTTTAAATGAATGAAATTATTTTTTAGCTTGGTTGCGACGTCGTCAAAGGGGTAATTAGCGGTTTTTGTAGAGGGGCGGTTTGCGGCGAGGGTGCGCCATCTGAACGTGGGTGGGATAAGGCGATGTAGGGTGCTGCGACTAATGGATTGAAAAGTTTGGTGTTTTGGTTACCTTGACAAAGTGCTCATGAATATTTAGCGGTTTCGTAAATATTCTTATTAAGACAATAGACAAACGATTGTTAGGCTGGAATGGAGGTTTGAGAGAAGTTCAGAGAGGATATAAGAAATTAGGAATGGTTGTGCGAGGACATTTTTTCATTGTCACCCTTGAGAGAGATATCTTCCTCGATTATTTAATTAAAATTTCGAGTGTCACGATTAATAGTAATAATGGTGATTACAATTGCCTTGTTAATATTTCATTAAATAATCGAAAACATTATTTATTCATTTACAATTGTTTTCACCTTTGGTGGTCTGATTTGAATGGTCTCAGCGAGTAACCCTGAACTTGGCATTCTCATCAAAATAACAATTGAAAAACACTTTTCATATTTGAATTGATAAGAACTATATTTATAGGGTTTTCGAAGGAAGTGCCAGTCACTCGTTGTCCAACTCGAACGATGAGTGTGGTGGTAGAATCTTTAAACTATTCCCTCAATCTGGGATCATCGTTAGGGTGGTTTCTCGTCTTGGTAGTTGCCATTTTAACGGTTTACCACTACATATTCCAATCGTCCCGATATGCTAAACTAGGAAACAAGTTACCGGGGCCCCATTTCACCCTACCCCTCATTGGAGATGCTCACACGATGATAAATAAAACCCCAACAGGTAACGTTTCTTTCAGGGTAGTCGAAATTTTGAAACTGGTCATTCGTTGCAGAAATTTTGGACTACGCGTTCAAGCTCTATCAAGACAAAGGTAGCGTGCTGAGATTTTGGTTTGGTAATAGGTTGACGACGGCACTGGTCGATCCACGGGATGTAGAAGTACACAAATCACGTTTTTGTTGAACAATTTTTTCTTAATTTGTTTTCGTAGTTGATTTTGGGTAGCAATGCCCACTTGGAAAAGAGCTTGGACTATAAACTGTTCGAGCCTTGGCTAGGTGATGGTCTTCTTATAAGCAAAGGAGAGAAATGGAGGTCCCATCGGAAGATGATAGCGCCTACCTTCCATCAATCCATCCTGAAGACTTTCATGCCCGTTTTTAACAAAAACGCTAACGACTTAGTTCAGTTGTTGAGGAGCGAAGTGGTTGGGAAAGTTTGTGATGTCCACGATTACATGAGTGGGGCCACCGTGGATGTTCTCTTAGGTATCCCAACCATGTGGTAGTTCTTCCTGGTTTAATTATCGCTTTGCAGAAACCGTGATGGGTGTGAAGAAGGCAAAGGAAGCAAAATCGAGTTTTAAGTACGCCAAAGCTGTAATGGAGTAAGTCGGACGTCAATTTTGAAAAAATCGGCTAATTGTTTTATTGGTAGCATGTGTGGTATACTTCACTTCCGCCACGTTCGTCTATGGATGCGTCCAGACTTCTTCTTCCGGTTCACCAAGTACTTCAAAGAACAAGTTTCGCATCTGAAGACCATCCACACCTTAACTGACTCGGTTATCAAAAACAAGAAGTTAGCCTTCTTCGAACGGAAGGAGAAAGGCGACGTGAGTTTATACGAAACCGCTGTTAAGGAAACAGAGGAAGAAAACAAGAACCCGATGAAAGACCAAGGCTTGAGTTATGGGAGCCATCTTCGAGACGACTTAGACGAAAACGATGAAAGCATCGGAGAGAAGAAGAGGTTGGCGTTTTTGGACTTCATGGTAGAGGCGAGTCACACGTCGGGCAACAAACTAAGCGACGAAGAAATCCGGGAGGAAGTTAGCACGATCATGTTCGAAGGCCACGACACGACGGCAGCGGCTTCCAGTTTCTTTATTTGCGTTCTAGGGGTTTATCCAGACATCCAGGAAAAAGTCTACCAGGAAGTCAGAGATATTTTCCAGGATAGCGACCGTCCGGTTACGTTTAGCGACACTTTGGAGATGAAATATCTCGAGAGGGTGCTCCTAGAGACACTAAGAATGTACCCGCCGGTTCCCGTTATCACTAGAGTTATCCGAGAGGAAGTTAAATTAGGTGAGACGAGGAAAATCGTTTGGGTGTCAAGTCTAACGCTTGGTTGTAGCTTCCGGGGATTATATTCTCCCGAAGGACACCACTGTGGCGATCCCTCAGCTGCTGATCCATCGCAACGCCAAATATTATCCGAATCCTGAAAAGTTCGACCCTGATAATTTCCTACCCGAAAGGTGCACCCAGAGGCACTATTACAGTTTTATTCCTTTCAGTGCCGGGCCCAGGAGTTGCGTTGGTGAGTTGCGATGATTTGTGGTGGTACGTGGTGACGATTTTGTCGCAGGGAGAAAATACGCAATGTTGAAGCTCAAAGTTCTGCTGTCTACTGTCGTTCGCAATTTTAAGGTTAAGTCTGTGGTGGACGCAAAAGATTTTAAGTTGCAAGGAGACATTATTTTGAAGAGGTCGGACGGCTTTCATGTTATTTTAGAAAATAGAAATTAGTGTTGTTGTTTGTTGATACAGAATTTTAGTTGTGTTTAGGTTTAGCAACTGGAAACTAGAAATTTGAACTAGTTTAGTGAACAATAAATTATGCAATCATAAAATGGTTTTGTATTTATTACGTAACTTGATGACTTTTTCAAATGAAACCTGATATACTAATTAACAACACAAATAAATTAAAAATTTAAGAAACCGTTTAAAAGATCGGAAATTCAATCGCCAAATTTGTTTGATTTGATGATTACTCGTGTGCTTTAAACCCACACAATAAAAATACTAGAGAATAGAATAAGCTATATTTTGATGTTTGCCTTAAATTGAGCTTTGTTCGGAATTTAATACTATCATTGATCAACATACAAAGAAATAAAAATTTAAAGGGACCGTTTAAAATACAGAAAGTGGCCTTCGTTAAAAAACCGGAATAATAAAATATGAGTGCATAATAATCGGTCCCCACAATAACCCATAAATATTCAAAGGCAAAAATTTTGAAAACGTTAATCAAAAAACGGATGACGCAACAAGTGGTCTAATCGCATGATTACTCATCCGGTAACCGTAACAACAAATTAGTTTAAAAAATTGATTTCCAAAATTGTTTGATCTGATGATTACTCTTCAGATTGTTTAACACCCACACTAAAAAAATTGTTTACACGCATTTGTTTTTACCCCAAATTCACCAACCAAGAGGCAGAAAAAAAAGGAAACCGTCTTTTTCGTATTCTAAAACAGTGCTCCCCTAGTATACGCTACAAAGTAGAAACGCAAAGCGAAGATCCCCAAAAATTGATAGAAAAGAGCACCAGGCATCAGCGTAATCCAAAATACCTTAGATATGACCAGTTTTACCATTCTAACAATCGCGAAATAAACCTACTCTACTTTGTATTGTTCTTGGACTACAAAATATTACAAATTGAAGCGTTGTTGACTGATTACAAGGCAATTTTTTAATACAAAACACACGACAACACGGATTAACTTACAAAAATCCAAACCTTGAACTTAACCCTCAACTGAAATATTATGCGTTTGAATATTTTGTTTTGGAAATGGAATATTTATACCGCTGCACTATTTTCGCGTTCAGGTGTTTTCAGTGAATCTCGCCTGAGTTACAATGAGCGTTGCAGCGGAATTTTTGGCCACTTCGTACAACTTGCTGTTGTATTTTGGTTGGTTTTTGTGTGTACTTGCCGGATTTTTGACAATTTATCACTATGTGTTTCAATCTACGCGTTACGCGAAACTGGGGAACAAACTTCCAGAACTTCCTTTTACTCTTCCGATTCTAGGAAATGTGCTCATAGTGCTGAGTAAAACCCCAACAGGTAATAGTTTTGTCTAGAGAAACCCGAAATGACAAAGTCTTGTAGAAATTTTGGAGTATGCGTTAAAAGTATACAAAGAACAAGGAGGAACCATCGCGAGATTGTGGGCCATTAACAGATTACTGGTGATTTTGGGTGACCCACGAGACCTGGAGGTACGCAGCCAGTTTTTTTGTCAATTTCGATTGATTTATTCGTTTAGATAATCCTGGGAAGCAACTCCCACTTGGAAAAAAATCCAGAATACAGTTTTTTCGAGCCTTGGTTGGGGGATGGCCTTCTCATAAGCAAAGGAGAGAAGTGGAGGACCCACCGGAAAATGATAGCCCCCACGTTCCACCAATCCATCCTCAAGACTTTCATGCCCGTGTTCAACAAAAACGCCAACGACTTAGTTGAATTGTTGAGGAGCGAAGTGCTTGGGAAAATCTGCGACGTCCACGACTACATGAGCGGGACTACCGTGGACGTCCTCTTAGGTATTCCGACCATGTATCCCGTCTAAGTTTAATTATCACTTTCCAGAAACCGTCATGGGTGTCAAGAAAACTCAAGAATCAAAATCGAGCTTCGCCTACGCCAAAGCCGTCATGGAGTAAGTAAAATAAAAAAACGTGTCTCTGATTAACAGTTCTGTTGTAGCATGTGTAGCATTATTCACTTTCGACACGTTCGACTATGGATGCACTCGGACTTCATCTTCAAGTTCACCAAACTTTTCAAACAACAAGTTTCGCATTTGAAGACCATCCACACGTTAACCGACACGGTCATAAAAAAAAAGAAACTGGAGTTCGTCGACCGGAAGGAGAAAGGCGATGTGAGTTTGTACGAAGCCGCTGTTAAAGAAACAGAAGACGAAAACCAAAACACGATGAGAGACCAAGGCTTGAGTTACGGGAGCGCCCTTCGGGACGACTTAGACGACAACGATGACAACATGGGCGAGAAAAAGCGGTTGGCGTTTTTGGACTTTATGGTAGAGGCGAGTCACACTTTGAAGAACAAGTTAACTGACCAAGAAATCCGGGACGAAGTTAGCACGATCATGTTCGAAGGCCACGACACGACGGCGGCGGCTTCCAGTTTCTTTATTTGCGTTCTAGGGGCTTATCCCGACATCCAGGAGAAGGTTTACCAAGAAATGAGGGATATTTTTCAGGATAGTGACCGCCCGGTTACGTTCAGCGACACTCTAGAGATGAAATATCTGGAGAGGGTGCTCCTGGAGACTTTAAGGATGTACCCGCCGGTTCCTGTTATCGGTAGAATTATCCGCGAGGAAGTTAAATTAGGTGAGAGGAGGAGAGTCATTCGGGTGTCGAGTCTAACGCTTGGTTTTAGCTTCCGGAGACTATATTCTACCGAAGGGTACCACTGTGGGGATCCCGCAACTTCTGATTCATCGCAATGCTGAATACTATCCGAATCCTGAAAAGTTCGACCCTGATAATTTCCTACCCGAAAGGTGTCAACAGAGGCCATTTTATAGTTTTATTCCTTTCAGTGCCGGCCCCAGGAGTTGCGTTGGTGAGTTTCTATGGTTTGTGGTGGTACGTGGTGACGATTTTGTCGCAGGGAGAAAATACGCAATGTTGAAGCTCAAAGTTCTGCTGTCTACTGTCGTTCGCAATTTTAAGGTTAAGTCTGTGGTGGACCCAAAAGATTTTAAGTTGCAAGCAGACATTATTTTGAAGAGGTCGGACGGCTTTCACGTTATTTTAGAAAATAGAAATTAATGTTGTTGTTGTTTGTTGAAACAGAATTTTAGTTGTATTTAGGTTTAGCAACTGGAAACTTGAAACTTGAACTAGTTTAGTGAACAATAAATTATGCAATCATGAATTGACTTTGTATTTATTACGTAATGGCTATTCAACTGTTGACATACCTCACAATGTACACCCTATATACTGATTAAACACACAAATAATAATTTAAAAATTTAAGAAACCGTTTAACAGACCAGAAATTCAATCGACAAAGTGCTTTAAACCCACATAATAAAAAGACTAAAGAATAGAATAAGCTGTATTTTGGTGTTTGCCTTAAATTGAGCTTTGTTCTGAAATTAATACTATCATTGATTAACATACAAAGAAATACAAATTTAAAGGGACCGTTTGAAATACAGAAAGTGGCCTTCGTTAAAAAACCTCAACCGGAATAATAAAATATGAGTGCATAATAGTCGGTCCCCACAATAAACTATAAATATTCAAAGGCAAAAATTTTGAAAACGTTAATCAAAAAACGTATGACGCAACAAGTGGTTTAATCGCATGATTATTCATCCGGTAATCACATATTTAACAAAAAAGCTGTTTCCAGTTTTTGTTCCTCATTTCGGTGATTCACTTTATATAGTCTGAATGGAAGGTGAATTTTATATTGAACAAAAATAAAATCGTTAGAATGAGAACAGCGCGGGTGGGCGCAGCTAGTACATGCTAAGGTAACACTGATTTTGGCACATGACATATCCTCTAAGAAAAGAGAGGGTGGGTGGGCGGGGCGAGTGCTTTCTAAGATAAGACTGAACAATGTTAAGAGGAGTTACTAGAATTAAGAAGGGGTGGGTGGGCGGGGTATTGTTTGTTTATAAGACTTTGTACGAAAAATTAAAACGGCCACCCACCCGTTTTCTCATTTTTTCTATTGAGCTAACAAATAATTCTTATAGCACATAGTATAACAAGAAAATTACGATTAGAGTTTTTTTTTCTTTTTTAACAACCCACGATCTATTAGTTCCCATTCCCACTTTACAGAATTTCTATTACAAAATAATTAACCCCGCCCACACACCCCTCCTCCATTTCAGTGATTCATTTTATATAGTCTGAATGGAAGGTGGATCTTATATCGAACAGAAATAAAATCGATAGAATGAGTACAGCGCGGGTGGGTGGAGCTAGTACATGCTAAGGTAACACTGATTTTGGCAAATGACATATTCTCTAAGAAAAGAGAGGGTGGGTGGGTGGGGCTAGTGTTCGCTAAGATAAAACTGAACAATGTTAAGAGGAGTTACTAGAATGAAGAAGGGTGGGTGGGTGGGCTTAATGCTTGCTTATAAGACTTTTTAGAAAAAGAGTAAATTCAGCCCCTACCACCTTTTTTCTGCATTTCACTGACTTTTTTATCTACTGTAAAATTGGAATTGAATTTTATTTTGGCAAGCGGTAGAATTTGAGATTTAAAGCAAAGCCAAAAGTTGCTCCGCCCACCTACCCCTCTTCCGCTTTGATTACTCATTTTATTGGCTCTGAGACGGAAAATGGAATGGTATTACTTGCTCATAAAAGACTCTTGGAAAAGTCAAACTTGGCCCCACCCACCCACCCGTTTTATCATTTTTTCTTCTGAGATAACAAGTAATTTTTATAGCAAATGGTATAATAAGAAAATTACCATTGGTGTTTTTTACATTTTTAACACTAAATTCCGTTCTAAACAAATGTTGTAAACTCATTCTCGTGCTATTATATAAAAAGCAACATAAGAATGGGAAACGATATTATTCGTTCACGATCTTTGTATAGTAGGGTTGGCCATGAAAATCTAGTGAGTTTGTTGGTATCGATGCAGAAGATAAAAATTCCCTGAACTTTTTTCGTTAGGTTATCTTCTGTTAAACTAAAGGTTAAAAAATATGCCAGAAATATAAACCTTGTTGCCGATACTTTCAGTTTTCAGTAGCAACGACCAAGTTAACGGTATCCATTTCTTAGAAAGCATAAAACTTTACGCTATTTAAAACAGTTATTCGGTTTTTGTAAGTGTTTATTTCATATGTAAGGAACAAACACTAAAATTTCATTTAAACATTGCTTTTATATAAATGGGGGTTCTGCATCCGACGATTGTCGCATGCCACATTTAGCATCTCATCTTTAATTCTCAATCATCAGTTCGTTCTGCTCGCCCACTCTTCTTAGAAATGGAAATTTCGACCTTTGTGAACAGCCTATTTCCATATCTTCCAACTTCTTTTTTCACTTTTATAAAAAAAAGGGTTGGTGAAAGACAACAACCTTGCTCTAGTGCTTTGATGGGTTTAGCTCTTCTGAAACATTTTTCCGGCCTTAAATTGAATGATTTATCTATATAATGCTTACGTAATTGCTCTTTATTTGCTTTTACTAATATTCCAAACGCTTATTAATAAGAACGTTACTATACGCCATGAAGAGTTACAAAAAAAAATGAAAATGGTTAAAATTTGGTGCAAAGTAACAACGTGGATGATGTAATTAAAATTATACTTATTTTGTTGTACGTCAGGTAGTTTTTCACATACTACCTTGGTAAATTTAGAATGAAAGATGCGTAAAAATACCACCCCCCGACAAGCTACAATTCACTCCATTTCCATTATTTCGCTATGAAAATCTGTATCATCACCGTCATTTTCAAATTCAGATTCTGAATCAGAATCACCTAGCGAAATAATGAAAGGAGGTATAGATTCGTACGAAAGATTTCCCATATTTTTTCCCAATCTGCCAAAATAAATTTTTCACAATGGTTACAAAAATTTTGCCACATGCTTAGAGTACATTTAGAAAGCGCCTCAAACCATAAATTCTCCACCCTATTTTTTAATGAAGGTTGAGAATTTATATGCTTGTTGTAATAGCTCTTACGAAATCCCCACGCCAATTCAATTGGATTATATTGACAATGGTACGGAGATAATCTAATGTCTAATCTTAATGTCTCATCTACCAAATTTTTTTTTCTGTTGTTTCTGAAGGGCTTAATTAAATTCTGCAACTGTTTCTTCGAAAATTTCTTGCCAAATTCAACACTATGTTTAAAGAGCCATTCCTGCATTTTACATTTTTTATTAGAAAAAGTGGGTGGTTTATCCAACTGAACCGAATGATACGGTGCATTGTCTAAAACCACAACACATTTTTGGTTCAACTTTGCCAAAACAGGAATTAGATTAACCACCCAATTTTGAAAAATTGTCCCGTCCATCGTTGTATGATAGTCTCTATCGTTATTTTTTGAATTAAAAAAATTGTTACAACCATTCAAGAACCCCGTTGAATAACCCGCGTGGAGAATAGTAAATCTTAATCCCTCACTTTTAGTTTTTAAAAGAAAAAATATCAAAGCCTACTTTACTATATAAAGATCGTGAATGGATAATACATACTTTATTTGTGTGCCCCACGGCCTCCTTGTCTTTTGTTTTTAACATTTTAACTTGATTAATATATATAACAACACTGCAAAACAAAACTCAGGCGGCAACTCTTTGTGCAGGTGACTGCCTGGCTGCAAGTCATAAATTAATGGAATGCTTAGGAAGTAAAAAGAAGCAGTTTCCCGAAAGATGGCAAACTTATCTAAGTTACAAACACAAAAGTGTAAGCGAAGGAAGTATTGTAATCGATTCCATCGTACGAATGGCCACTTTTATGTTTTCTCCACCCCTACAGTACGATCCAACAAATTAGTTTAAAAGATTGATTCCCAAAATTGTTTGATCTGATGATTACTCTTCAGATTGTTTAACACCCACACAAAAAAAAAATTGTTTACACGCATTTGCTTTTACCTCAAAAAGGAAACCGTCTTTTTCGTATTCTAAAACAGTGCTCCCCTAGTTTACGCTACAAAGTAGAAACGCAAAGCGAAGATCCCCAAAAATTGATAGAAAAGAGCACCAGGCATCAGCGTAATCCAAAATACCTTAGATATGACCAGTTTTACCATTCTAACAATCGCGAAATAAACCTACTCTACTTTGTATTGTTCTTGGACTACAAAATATTACAAATTGAAGCGTTGTTGACTGATTACAAGGGAATTCTTTGATACAAAACACACGACAACACGGATTAACTTACAAAAATCCAAACCTTGAACTTAACCCTCAACTGAAATATTATGCGTTTGAATATTTTGTTTTGGAAATAGAATATTTATACTGCTGCACTATTTTCGCGTTCAGGTGTTTGCAGTGAATCTCGCTTGTGTTACCATGAGCGTTGCAGCGGAATTTTTGACCACTTCGTACAACTTACTGTTGTATTTTGGTTGGTTTTTGTGTGTACTTGCCGGATTTTTGACAATTTATCACTATGTGTTTCAATCTACGCGTTACGCGAAACTGGGGAACAAACTTCCAGAGCTTCCTTTTACTCTTCCGATTCTAGGAAATGTGCTCATAGTGCTGAGTAAAACCCCAACAGGTAATAGTTTTGTCTAGAGAAACCCGAAATGACAAAGTCTTGTAGAAATTTTGGAGTATGCGTTAAAAGTATTCAAAGAACAAGGAGGAAGCATCGCGAGATTGTGGATCATTAACAGATTACTGGTGATTTTGGCTGACCCGCGAGACGTGGAGGTACGCAGCCAGTTTTTTGTCAATTTCGATTGATTTATTCGTTTAGGTAATCCTGGGGAGCAACTGCCACTTGGAAAAAAGTCCAGAATACAGTTTTTTTGAGCCTTGGTTCGGGGACGGCATTCTCATAAGCAAAGGAGAGAAGTGGAGGACCCACCGGAAAATGATAGCCCCCACGTTCCACCAATCCATCCTCAAGACTTTCATGCCCGTGTTCAACAAAAACGCCAACGACTTAGTTGAATTGTTGAGGAGGGAAGTGCTTGGAAAAATCTGCGACGTCCACGACTACATGAGCGGGGCCACCGTGGACGTCCTCTTAGGTATTCCGACCATGTATCCCCTCTAAGTTTAATTATCACTTTCCAGAAACCGTAATGGGTGTCAAGAAAACTAAACAATCAATATCGAGCTTCGACTACGCCAAAGCCGTCATGGATTAAGTAAAATAAAAAAACGTGTCTCTGATTAACAGTTC